TTCCCTGCCAGGGAGACTGGGGAGCAGATGGTGTCCACGAAACCCCCAGGCTTCCACGCATTCATGGCCAGAGATGGGCACCTGCTGGAACCCAGCAAAGCTAAGGCAGCTCCGCCCAGCCCCGGCAGGCCGCCCTGCCCTCGGGGCACCAAGCCCGCGGCCTCCCACCAGAGCAGTCTGACCAGCCTGGAGGGAAGCGGCATCTCTGAGCACCTTCCCCAGAAGTCTCTGTGCCAAGCTGGTGGTTCCCACCTGGAGGTAGGTGTCCACAAGGGCATGGGCTCAGAACCTCAGGGAGCTTTCTGCCTCTGGGGCTTTGCTCACGCTATTCCTTCTCAGAATGCCTGCTCACACCCCTGCTTGTCACAATCCTGCCCGACCTGCAGGGCTTATGTCCAGTGCCACCTCTTGGCTATAACTTCCCCGACTCCTGCCCCTCTGCCGGAAGCTCTTTTCCTCCTCTGAGAGCCTGTAGCCCATGGCCTGTCTTTCTCCGAGTCTGCTCAGCACAGCCGGGTGAGCTAGTCGCTGACACCATGCTGTTTGTGCCATTAGCACAGCGATTTTTAAACCGTTACAGGGATTACAGATCACTACGAAAATGTGATTTATGCTATGGATCCTCCCATGGAATAACACATATATATGGATGTGTACATACCACACACACACACACACACATTACTATAGTCCTCATGAGCCTGTGGTAAGGAATCTGCACTAGACTATGAACTCACTGAGGGCAGGCACCCGTGTCGCTTGGTCTGTGTTCTTTGGGCCTGTGTGAGACCCAGTGTGTAGGAAGCGTGTGCTTTAGATGGCTTTCATTGTCCCGATTCATTGGGCATTTCTGCAGTCAGATAGGACTGTGGTATCACAGGCCCAGTCCAGAGGACATGTTGAAATGAGCATTCCCTTCCCACAGTGGGGCTGCTTCCTCTTCCTCTTTCTATTCTTCAGCTCAGGAAATCTGCAGTCCATCTCCCATGGCCCTGGCTCCCACTCCTCAGGGAAGGGGGGCTTGCTCAGGGTTCTTTCAGGGTGTGGCATCCCCGTTTTTGGCCTGGTGCTCATGCTGGGTCCTGAGGGCCTGAGGACCCTCACATCCTGGGCCTGGCTATGGGGAGCTGGGCCAGCCGCCCTGTCTGTGAGCCTCTGGAATGCGAGGCCCAGGCCAGGACTCTGGAAGGTCTTCCCAGTCTGCCTCAGGCACATTCCTCAGACTTAAAGGGACACCGCCTCTTTCAGGAGCCCTGGATGGCATCCCCTGAGACAGACAGTGGCTTTTTGGGCTCAGAAACCAGCAGAGCATCGCCCCTCACCCAGACCCCAGAGCACCGGCTCTCTCACATCAGGTATCCTGGGGACCCCCCACGATAGTGCCACACATCTGGGATGGCCTGGGAATCGAAGTGCCTGTGAGCCCAGAACAGGGCAGATGGTCTGGGCATTCTCAGACCCCTCATTCATTCTCCTCAACTAGAGTCTTTGCCCCCATCTTATTGATGGGGGAAACCGAGGCTCAGAGAGTGAAAGTCACTTGGCCAATTAGCGACAGAAATAAATATTTCTTGAGCAGATAAACTAATGAATAGTGAATGAATAAAAGCTGGGAGGGTGGCCTGATGTGAGCAGAAGACAAGGACAAAGGGCAGTCAGGGTGGCTACGTGGAGAAGAGATGGCTGGAACCCAAAGGGAAGAGAGGATGGAGGGGACTCAGGTGAATAGTGGAGTGGCGGCGCTACCATGAAGAGTGATGGCCTCCAGAGCCAGTGGAGACCCCTCCATAGGCCCATATGGTAACCTAATCTCACACGGATTAGAAATTCTACTTCTCTGTATATTTTCTTAGAGCAAAATTGAGCTTTATAATTTTGCATATATTGGGTGGGCATGTATACGACTGTGCAGTTTATAAAGAATTGCATGTTTAGTGGGAGCACTTTCTCAGAAATTCTGTCCTTTTCGGGGTGCAAATTTCCCAAAGTCAGGTCTAGGGTGTGGAGGGGCTCAGAGGCCATGGCCTCTCTCTGTGTGTCCTCAACATGTCCCTCCGTTCATGATCCCCCAGCACCCCAGGGACATTAGCCCAGCCCTTCACTGCCTCTGTGCCCCAGGATACAGCCTACCAGTCTCAGACCAGGGGTCTTCCAGTGCCCAGAAGGGCCACTGAGCCCTGCACATCCAGGAACCAAGCCCAGAGGCACCTCTCCAACCGAGACAGTCCTCTCTGGAAGAGGGTCCCCAGCTTCCGCCTGGCACAGGCACTGGCAGCTGAGATGGGTGAGTGGATACGTCTGGATTGGTCAGGACCTGGGGGTGGTCAGATTGCCTAGATTAAAAATCAAACAAAAACTCTTATTATCCTTTAGAATACAAAATATCATATAAGTTCATTTTAGGAAAATTTGAAATTTCAGATAGGGTGGACAAAAGGGAAGAAAAGAAAAAAAATGCTGAAAACCATTACTGCTGACATTTTGGTATAGAGCCTGTGACTGCTTTCTGTGTCAGTGTGTGTGTGCATGTGTGTGTGTATTTACATATACATAGAATGGAAATGAGATCATATTGTACATGAATGTTTGATAACCTTTTTTTCACTAAACATTGTATCATGAATACTTTCCATGTCTATAAAATCTATCTGTAATTTAGTTTTTTGCCTTTAAAAAGTACATGTGAGCTTTTTATTGAAATAAAACATATAGGAAAGAACATAAATTGATGAATTTTCACAAAGTGAGCACTGACCAAGAAACTCAGCATGGTCGGAGCCCCATAACCCCCTAGATCCCTCCAGTCACCCCTGCCCCTCCCAGAGGAAGCTGCTGCTCTGACTTCTAACACCTCAGATTAGCTTTGCCTCTTTTTAAGGCTTAAAACTTTTTAATTTTTAAAAATTAATTTAAAATTTTACTAATTAATTATAAATTCACATGCAGTTGTAAGAAATAATATGCTGAGACCCCAAGTGCCCTTCACCTAATTTCCCCTAGTGAGAGCATCTTGCAAAATCACAGTGCAGTGTCACAACCAGATAGGACATGGGTTGAATCAGGATACAGAACCTTCCACATCACAGGACCCCTCACGTTGCCCCTGTACAGACACTTCCCTTCTTAGCTCCTGGTGACTACTAATCTGTTCTCTACTTCTATAATTTTCTCATTGCCAGAATGTGATATGAGTGGAATCGTATTGTATATAAACTTTTGGGATTGGCTTTTTCACTCAGCGTAATTCTCTGTAGATTTATCTAGACCGTTCCATATATCTATGGTTTATTCCTTTACCTGTTGCTGAGTAGTGTTCCAAGGGTTCATTGTTTCTAATGCATGGGCCAGGTTAGTGGTTTTTAACCTCTGGTTGCCCATCCATCCCTTTGGGAGGCTAAAGTTTTGAACGCCTTCCCCCAAAACATGCACTCAGGCAAAGGTGTGACTATAATTTCAGAGAGAGGTGGAGGCTCTGAAGCCAGTTCTAGAACAACATGGTGAGATTGATGACAGAGTCTGGGGGTGGAGGCACGTGAGGAGCAATGAGCTCTTTGCAGGGGGAGGGTCCTGGAGACTTGGATCTGATGCCAAGATAGTGGAGTGTGGCGGCCGTTCTAATTACAAGGAGCTCAGCAGGCCTAGCTTAACATCCCCAGTTCCCAAAAAAAACACATCTTCTGGTTTTGAGGTTAGTGAATCATAGACATCATCAAGAACTTCATTCGTGACCTCACCTGGGCACTGTCTCTTTGCCCCCGCATCCTTCTACCCATACGGGATCACACTTTGAGGGTCTTCTCCACCTGAACTCACTTTGTTCTCTTTTTGCCTCCCTAGCTGTCCCTGGCTCAGAGTTGGAGGGGCAAAAGCGGATTTCTGAACAGCCGCCTCCCAGCACAAGAGTCAGCCCGCCCTCCACCCCGGCCCCTGCAGCTGTCGCTCTGCCCCATGGACTGACAGAGACCACCCCTACCCTCCTCACCAGGACTGGGCGAGAGTAAGTCAGATGCTTGGGCACTGCAGATTCAAGGTCATCCTAGAGGTGGGAGAGTGATGCCCAAGGGAGGCAGGGGCTCGCTCAGCCCTCATGTCCGTGGTGGCTGTGCTGGGGTCAGGCAAAGCCAGGTACCCTGCCTTCCCAGTTCAGGGCTGTCTCTGTGGGACCTCATTGATCTAGACTTTGAGGACACATCTCCAGCCAGTGGGAAACGACCTAGAGGTTCACCTTTCTGGTGTTGAAACCTCTCTTCCTGCCCCACCAAAGTTTCCAAGATAGGGCTGCACTTCCCAGGGATAATGTACTTTATGCATTCATTGTATGGACTCAGAGGAGTGTTTTTCAGTTCTCTTCTTTTTAATACAAGCACAATTTTTCTACTAAGAAAGTTACCCCTTACTTGGTTAAATAGAAATGGGAAAATAGGTTGGTTAGCCCTCTTTCTTCTCTTCTGAGTTGCTTTTGGCCAATAATCAATCACATGCCTTTGTCAGATTGGGTTGTCTGTCCCAGAATCCCAGAATGCACTGGGGAGACTGCTTTGCAGTAACCAATCTAAAACCTCCATGTCTGGTGCAATCATGGGGCCGTCTGTCATGGGGCCTATGTGTAAAGTCAGGTCCAGCTGCTGGTATTCGGCTTCTAGGTCTGACTTTAGTGAGTCTCCCTGACATCAGCGTAGGAATTAAAGGTTTATTTGCCTACAATATGCCAGGCTCTGGGAATACAATAGTGGACAAGACACAGCCCTTGACCTCATAAGGCTCACCATCTTGTAAGACAGACAAAGAAACAGGCGGTCACACCCCAAGTTTGATCAGTACAGTGATGGTAGAGGCTCAAAAGACTGTTAATGCACTGAGAAGGGGCATCTAGCCCAGTCAGAGGCTTCAGGGAGGGCTCCCTGGAGGAAGTGGTATCTCAGCTGAGACCAGAGGAAGCGGCATGGAAGAAGAGTATCCCCAGCAGAGGGAACAGCATGTGCAAAGGACTTGAGGTGAGAGGGCGCCATCCCCTTTGAGGAGCCAAACACTTGTTCTAGCCAGATCTTTGCGTGTGAGGTGGTGCGTGTTGAGCAGTAAAGGCAGAGAGATGTCGATGGGGAGACGTCGGGGAGATCTTGGAGGGCCTCAGATGCCATGGCTAGAGGTTTGGATGGTGGCTCAGCTCAAAAAAGGTGTTCACTGAATATTCGTGAATGCATAAACACTCACTGGAGCACAGTGAGGGGGATTTTAAGCAGGGGAGTGGTGTGGTCAGGTTTATGTTTTAGAGTTCTCTGGCCCCCACAGGGTTGATAATGGAGGCTGGGAGGCTGCTCAGAAGGCTGCTCCACCCAGGAGAGAGAGGATAGTGGAGAGAGAGGGCCAGTGGAGAGGGAAGGGGGAATGAATGCATTTAAGAAGAGCTATTTAGATGTTGGGCCCACAGGACTTAGTAATTGGTTAACTTTATCAGGTTTTCAGGGAAGGAGAAGGGTCTAGAATGATGCAGATTTTTTTGGCTGGCCATATAGTTGGATGCTGGTACAGAGAAGGGGAGCCCAAGATGGGGGGGTAAGTTTACAGGAAAAGATAAATTTTAAGTGCCAGATGGCACTCAGTCACTAAAGAGTTAAGTCCAGAAGACTGAGTCCCTGATAGAAACAACAGAGAGGACAAATGACACCCAAGCAGGTGTTCCAAGCGCCAAGCCCTCAGTGGTCTTCGGCCTGGGACAAGAAGCTGGAGCTGCCCTCCGTCCTTCATGCAGCACCACAGAGCCCTGGCCCTGCCTTCCAGGGGTTAACTGATGACGGAGCTCTCACTGTCCTGCAGCCACCACCCTTACAGTTTGCCTTGGAAACCCCAACAAGCGTCTCCCTAGGGATTGCTAGGGGAACCAACCGCCCTTGGACGTACATTTCATGAGCACATAGCTAGAGAGAGGCCTGCTTCCTCTGGCACACTCATCTGAGAGCCGATGTTTGCTGGAGGTGGTGCCAGGAGACACTCACCTATGAGTCCAGGGGCCAACAGGCAAGACCTAATCCTGAGGGGAGCCCCCACCCCGGAAGCTGGCTCCAAGCAGTGGATGCAGAGCCCACATCAGCTAGAAGGACTGCCATGCCGAGCCACACTCTGAGCTGGAGTGGCAGGTTTGTGTGTAGCAGGGCTGTCTGAGGGGGGTTGTCTGCCACAATGCCAGCAACACCCTCAGAATGAGACTAGAGATTCAGGGACTGAATCGAGAGAAAAATCCAAACAGCATTTATTCCCTAGATGCTAGCAACTCATTGAGATACCTTCCTTTAAGAGATGGGCTGTGGTTGGGGTTTCCCAGGGATTCCCAGCAGCCTTGCCGGTGGCATCCCTGCAGCTTCCCGACCGGCTCACATTCAGCTGGTGATGGGGAGCATCGCGCTGTCTCCTTGTCCTCTCTCCATGCACAGCCCTTTACTCTGCTCCCTCTTGGAGCCCGGGAGATGTTCCCTGAGCATCTGTGAAGTGTAGGGGTCTCAGGGTTTGTGAGATGGGAGACCTCTGCTTGCCTGCCGATGTCTCACGCTCCGGTGGGAGAGGCAGATAGATAAGTATCTTCTGCCAGGAGTGGAGAGATAGACTTGAACAAAGCAGGAAGTGTCTGGGGG